TTAGTAAATAATAATGATAATATTCTTTTCTATACTTTTCTTGTACTTATATTGTATATCAGAATAGAAATATTAATTTCGAAAGCTTGTAATCGTTTGCTGAATAGTTGGTGTATTTTTATCAAGTATTTCTTTATTTGTTGTACAGGAGTTGAAGGCGAAATCATTCAATGCAAGGAAGAGATTTCAATTGGCAATTATTTGTGTGAGAGCTGTTATTCGTATTAAACGGCTTCATATCACGCCTGAACCGCTTTCGACACACGTAGCTTGTACTGACCCATATAGAATAAAAATTCTGCGGAAGGTAAATTTTTCCACGATAAAAATCCACATTACAAATTACTAAATGAACGTAATAAATAATAATTATGAAAAAAAAATATTGGTATAGAGTATTGGGTTCGAATTTTGTTTATCGAGTAGAGTTTCGGTTTTTTTTATATAAAAAATTCCAAACCTTCTGATATTATTCTAAGATTGAATGGATATAATTATGAAATTAATTAAGTATGAACAATATGTGTTTGCTAAGAATATTTTTGATAATTGTTTTCAGGTGATTGATGGCTGTGCGTTTCGTGTCTATGGACACTGGGTAAAGAAGGGAGAAGGCCAGAATCGTGCGGCACTTTTTGAAAATACACCAAAGACAGAATTGAAGCATCTGTATGTTAGTAATTTAAGTAGATAACTATTATTGTTTTAGTTAAATTTACTGATACCGGAATCTCGATGGTCCTAACGAAATATATTTCATAAAGACAGATATAACTGTCTTAGTTTTGCAGAATGTAAAATATTCATGATAGAAATTTTTTTTTAAATTGAAGTATAGGCTAAATAGTACTTGGGGACTTTTTACTTGAATAGACTTTTACTCAAATTTCTGTATAAAGTTGTCTACCATAATTGATTTTGATATAATCAATTGCTATTGATTTAAAGTAGAATAGTAAAAAATTTATGTAAACTATTTAAATTTGAATTCAGAGAAATGTAGAATATTTTCTGATAATATTTTTAAATTGCACGTTTTACAATGTAACAATACATACATACGTTATACTACATATGAAAATGTGAAAGTAATTATTTTGTGAAAAATTATATAAAAATCTTTGTTATTCATTCAAAGCAAAACAATATACATATGTGATTAAAAGATGTATTTCTATAAATAGCTGTAATACTTTGTGACATACTTATTATATAATACAGAATGAATATATATAATATTAACATGTTTTATTTTTGCAGAATATAAAAATATTCCATATTAATGCTATATTTATAAAGATACATTTTCAAAATTTCATTTCTAGAGGAAATTCTATTAGAAAATATGATACTTCATGTAAGATCTAGTCACAATTTTTGTACAAATAAACTTGTCTTAAACATATATTGTAAAAGTTAATATATATTTCTGTAAAAAATTAGTACACGAGTCAAACAAAACAAATTTGGTAGAGCAAGCAGATATGGAGCACTTAAGTATTTAATTTCATTTAGCACAAGTATTTAATTTCATGTTAAAACAAATTAATTTAATTCAATTATCTTCAGATTTATTTTACAAGTATGTGTATTTCAAACATTATAATCATCATGTCACTTTTATATTTTCATTCATATTCCTTGTAAAGGTTTATTTTTCGTAACTATATATTATAAGTCTTTTTCCATACTCCAAGACTGAACTTTTTTCTCTCACTGTTCAACTTTTGTCTTTTTCTTTCCAAAAGAAAAGAAAGAGAAGAAAGATGAAAAGGGATGAGAAAAAAATAGATTTTATCCAGACAGTACAGAATATTTATAATAAATATTTATTTTTCAATATTCATTTTTTGAAATGTTATATAGATATTTCATACATATTTTATATAAAGCTTTATTCGAAATATCATTAAAATATCATTAAAATATAAATATTTATGATAAATATAAATAAATAATTTCTAATAAGTATTTTTTACTTGGATTATAATGTCTCATTGAGTATTTTCATAAGATACTATAATATTTACAATAAATATTTCCTAATATGTATAATAAATATTTATAATCTGTGTAATTTATAATCTAAGACTACAAAAATATTTACAAAATATTTATAAATTATGCTGTCTGGGAATTCTATGTACTTAATACAAAATAGATATATAACTATAGATGTTAGAGAAAAAGACAAAAGGAGATAAAAATTTAAAAAATTCGGTCACAATTAAATTAATATTTACATATTTTACATATTTGCGCTTTTTCGAATCATCGATTTTTTTCAAATCAAAGACTATAGGTTATCAGTTAAAAGTGCCCGTTCGCAAAAAAAAAAAAAAGAAACCGAGGAGAAGGATTTACGTGATCATGTCTGTAGCAGCTGTAGTCGCTAGCAGTCTGTAGCAGCCGCGGTTGGCGGGTTGGCCGCGGTCACCTCGCAGCGGTCACAGCCTCTCCGCGACCACTCACGACCTCGTGGGCGCATGGCGCGCGCGCGCACTGGCGAAAGTAAACAATAGAGCGTAGCTCCGGCAGACATGAGACGTGAGACGTGAGACGGGTAAAAGTGGCAACAGCGCGCGCATTCGCGCTCGCGCGGCGTCGATCCATGTGACAGAGAAGGAACGTAACAAAAGGTGGCGGAGGGTGACGCCGCTGCCGCCGCGATCGGTCGGAGCGCGAGTGTTTGCCCGGGCGAGCCGGGTGTCGGGTGTGCTCCGCGTGTCGTTCTTTCGCGTTTCGCGTTTCGCGTACGTGCCTGAATGCTCGTATGCCTCCGTCGTCGCACAACGTGCAGGGTAGGAGGTACCTTCCGCACAGCGTGGCGCGTCGCGTCGCGTTTACGGCGAAATAAACGCGTGACGTTAAGGAATTGATAAACGGAGTGTGTGGGTTACGACGAGCGCGACCGCCGCGACGACGACGACGACGACAACGACGACGGCGGTGGCGACGACAACGACGGCGGTGGTGGCGGTGGCGGCGACGGCGAGGACGACCGGAGACGACGATGACCGATCGACGGAACGAGTGAACGACATCGCCGAAGCAGGCGCTCCGCGATACTTGTCTCACAGTCTCACACGCCCAGCGGGACTGCTGCGTCACATGGGCCACGTTCATTCGTCGATAGAGCCGGGTGACGTCACGAGCTGCGCGATGATTGGCTCGCGCCACGGTGCCTAGACACGTGAATCGTGGCCGAGCAAGCATGGCAGTTTGATGCGCAGTGGTTTTCAGCACTTGTAAAATGCCACCGCCACGCGCCAGATCGATCAGGTTATAACCCGCGTTTCGCCGCGCGCTCCGAAACAGTCGGCTCGTCGCGCGGTCGCATTTGCGGTCGCGGGCATTTCTCTCGCGTCGACTCGTCGCTTCGTCGTCGACCGCCTTGTAAAATTAATTTTCATACGATTCGATTCGAGAGATCACGCGCGCTGACAGGGATCGGCGATCGTTTTCGGCACAGAAGTGAGTTAAAGGGAACTAGAGAACCGCTCTGTTGTGTTGTACCTAACCAGCGTGTGCGTGCCCGGAACGTGCTCAGGACACAACGTGTTTCAACTTGTAAGTTTGGCCGAGATACCACCCTTTCTATCTCTATTTATCTCAGACTCTATACCTTTCTCTCTTGCTCGAACCACCACGCCCGTTTGAGAGAAAGAGAGATAGGTACGGGCGGAACGAAGCGGGGCACGCGAGAGAGAGAAAGAGAATAAGCGAGCGAGAGAGAAAGAGAGAGACAGACAGCGCGAGCGCGGGTGAGTCTCAGCGAATTATTATATCCGTTACTAGCACCTATTTAATTAACATGTGTATAGAGATGGTTGCGTGGCGTGTTTTCCGTGCCATAATAGAACTAGCCAATGGCGTGACGTCCAGCCGGCGACGTCATAGGCTGCGAGCGTCGCGATTGGTCGGAATTGCGTGCATCGTCGACCGTTTTAACGTGCGTGTCGCTTTGTCAATTTTTGGACCTCGTCGCAGCACGTTCCTTCGAATTTTTGCGAGAACATGCGCTTGAGTTCTGCACGATCTCGTTCGCCGCTACTGACGACGACAACGACGACGACGACGACGACGACGATAATGACGATGATGACGATGTCAACGACAACACCTCCTCCGCTGCCGCTGGCTAATCGTCCGCTCCGCTCCGCACCACTCCGCTCTGCTTCGTTCCGTTCCGCGCGTCCGCTCCCTCCACTATTTTCACATGCCGACCCCGCGCGTCTCCCGCGGAGAATGCGAGCGCGACCGCGCGACCGCGCGTCGCCGACGTCGTCCGCTTTCGCGACTCCAACCGAGGTAACCTGGCCTGGCCTGGCTTTCAGATGTACATTCTTTCACTCTCCTTACTCGATTTATATGTGCTTTTTTTGGGAATTTTATATTTGCAATCTATTCGGTACTTTAAATAAACCGTCTATCTTCGATATTTGCCACGGTATCGATTATTGTTCGCAAGAGACACCTTTCCTTTTTCTCTTTTCCTATTTTTTTTTTACCAAGGATTACTTGATTTTTTCTTCCGCTGACAATACGACGCGTGCATACTCGTGGCCGTTTTCGCGCACGCAAACGCCACGTAACGAGACGCCACTGCCGGTCTTCCCTTTCTTTTTTCACCACACACGTTTGAGCAGCGGGGGAACAAGATTTCACGAATTGTCGATTTCCGATGAACCGCGTTATCGAGCTCGAGATATCGTACACGTTATGCTAAAAATGTGCCTCGGTTGATCAGTTCAATTATAAAATAAAATCACGAATTTAATTTTTGTGAAATAAAAGGATGGAATAACGTAACGTTTACGTCTAGTCGGGATGAGGCGAAACAGGTTTACGCCAAGATTATGTTATCGTTTATTGGAAATCGGTATATGATGCGCTTGATAAGTGATTTTTCAAGTGTCCGATCTACATCATTTTCGTCCCTTTCCCTTCCCCTTTTTTTGTTTTTTTATTAAACAGTTCCGCTCGGTTCCAGAGAACTTGAGATACGTGCAGATACGTGCTGTCGTTCTGCGCTGCAGGAAAAAAGAGCCGCGACGCGCCTGCGTGGCGCGCTCCGTCTGATGCGCTGTTGCAAGAGCGACGTGAGTGGGTGACCGAGGTGGGGGATGGAAAGGCTTCCCGCGCACGGCTGCGTTACGTCACGCGTGTACGTTACGTGACGTACGTCGGTGGGCACACCGGTCGCGGTCGTGTCCACGACGTTCACGACACCCTTCTCTAGATAAGTCCAATAACGGCATCCAGCACAGAATTCTTTAACGAGCTCGTAACCACTCTAAACTCAAAAATCTCGATATAAATCGAGATTCCCTTTATTTCTCTCTTGAATTGCGATAGAGATGCGCTACGTAACGGGTAATCTCTCTTTTTCTCTTACGTCCTCGGTCCGAAAAATTATCACGTCTTCGACATGACTTAACAGTCATATTTAATAAGAACAACATTTTAACATGTGTAAAAAATGATTATTCTTATCGATAATGAACGTATAATTAACGACTCGCTTTTTTTCCACACGCAGATTGTCGTACACGGTGGTCAGCAGCGGAGGAAGAGGGGCGAGGACAAGAGTCCAAGAATCGGGACTGTCGGGAGTGTCGGGAGTCGGGATTGTTCCTGCCGATTCATCAGCGGCGTCCGGAGCCAAACGGAACGGCCGCGGCGGCTGCGGCTGCGGCTGCGGCTGCGGCTGCGGCGTCGGCGTCGGCGTCGGCGTCGGTGCCTTTGGTTGCCGCGACGCCGGCGGTTCGATGCGCCGGAGTCAGAACGATTACACAGCGAGTGTTGACGAATACAGAGACTCGGTGGAACAACCGCAGCATCGCCGCCAT